TTCCTTAGCATCCAGATCATTAAACTTCCGTGCTCACCTACTTGTCAGCAATGTTCTACCCCAAGACTTTGATTCTTAGAGGAACAGCCAGCTACCCTGGCTAAAATTTGAAGCATATAAGTGGCTGCTTGCCTTTTTCCGAACTAGAAGTAAAAGATGCTTTTCTTCCCTGTGGCCAGGTCTTACCTGGCTGACTTTGTTTCTTAAATTCAGCAGCCTCTTATCATCCTCCCTTTAATTGGAAGATCTTCATTTCACCTGAAAATAGAAGTAGAGCCTTTAATTCCTGCCCCCATGCTGTGAGGAAGTGCCTTCCTTACCTCTTGATAGGAATGATCAGTTCCACTTATTTCTTGACATTTGATAAATAAGCAACAATGATCACTTCTGTACAAATAAAATCGGTTGGACAATTAATCTCTGCAAATGCGAGAGCAGGTGAAATGCTCATCTTCACACTCTGGTTAGCTGCACTTTTTGGAAGGAAAAAGGAGCAAAGATCATCATCATTGGTTAGAATTACTGACTACTTACATCTGAACCAGTAGCTCCCATTTTTATTCCTTTATTCAGTAGAGCAACTTCTTGTGCTCTTTAGAGATGAAGATTTCATCAGTTACATTTCCTCCACCTGAAAGTATGAGCAGAATCATTTACTATTATGGGAATGGCGTATTGCATTTCTTACCTCCTTAAAAGGATGGATCAGCTAATTCCTGGATTGAACAAGTGGCAAGTCCATGTTGCTTTGTCTTGCGTCTGCTTTTCATACTCTCCCCATGACAAGTAAGGTCCACCACAGTTCTTCTCCCAGAAAGGGAAATCCACACCACTTGATCTACACATGGATGTTTGGAGACTGGTATTTCTTACCTCCTTGTCCGGGACAACCACTTACCCTCACTTCTCCCTGGTAGGAATGACCACCTGGTCTGTTCATATCTCATATTAGAAAAACCTGCAATCAATGTTCGACAGAATTATTTATTATTACTCATTACCAGCTATGAAGAGTCATCAATGGAGAAGGTTCCTTATCATCCAGATCATTAAGCTTTTAGAGACCTTTCAGTGCTCACCTACTTGTCAGCAATGTTCTACCCCAAGTCTTTGCTTCTTAGAGGTACAGTGAGCTTCCGTGGCTAAAATTTGAAGCATATAAGTGGCTGCTTGCCTTTTTCTGAACTAGAAGTAAAAGATGCTTTTCTACCCTGTGGCCAGGTCTTACCTGGCTGACTTTTTTCTTAAATTCATCATCCTCCCTTTAATTGGAAGACCT